CACCGCCTGAAGGAGTCTCCACGCGGCCCGCTCGCGCGCACCCGGGAGAGGGTTCCCCGTCTTCCCAGCCCATCCACTACGACCGATCGAGAGGTCTAAAAGTCCATGCGGTGAAGGCCTGACCATGCTTATGCTTGAAATACAAATGCAGCACCACCTCGCATGCTTCTTGACAAGAGATCTATCTCCTCAAAGGCTTCTGCTATGCAGCCTGGAGAGCCCATGGCCACTCCAATAAATCTTCTTTAATCCTTACTTCCTTCAATGACAATACCGTCCTGTTAGGGCGAGTCGCTCATGAATGGCTTCCAACACCTTCATGGCGGTCCAAGAGACCATTGCTGCCCTTACCTGGCAGCAGACCGGATGCTTGCTTGCGGGCATCTGGCTCATCTATCTCGTCCAGCTTGTTATTTGGAGACTATGGCTCAGCCCTCTGGCCCATATCCCAGGTCCCAAGCTGGCCGCATTGACTCAATACTATGAGTTCTACTACGACTTTGTCCTCGGAGGACAATACACCTACAAGATCATCGATATGCATGAACGATATGGCCCCATTGTTCGCATCAACCCCTGGGAAGTCCATGTAGGAGACCCTGAATTCTTTTCGGACCTCTACACTGGACCCAGCCGCCGTCGAGACAAGTGGACATTCTACACCCAACAGGTAAGCACTTGTATGCTCAAGATATTCATGGTTTTCAACTAACAAAAAAAAATAGTCCGGTGCCCCCCGTACCCGTGTTCCTCACCCAACTGCTCTCGCAGGACCCAAGACTGCGACAGAAGGCTCTCTTGCTGCCATCGACCACAGCCTTCACAAGTTGCGTCGAAGTGCGCTGAGCCCATTCTACTCAACTCAGACTGTGCGCGAATTGCAGCCGGTTATCGAGGAGAGAGTGGAAGCTCTTCTGGGTGCGTTCCTGAACTACGCCGAGGTGTCCAATGGACAACCTCTTGATGTCATGTATCCCTACTCGGCCTTTACCAATGGTAAGTCTCAAGTCTCTCACGCAATGACACCTCTAACAATGTCCTCAGATGTCATCAATGAGTACGCTTTTGCTCGAAGCGACCACCTTGTCGAGAAGCCCGATTTCGGTGCCGAGGTCACCAATGACCTTCTCATCGGTACTCACATGGGACCTTGTGTGCAGCAGCTCGACTGGGTTCTCACCCTCGTCAATGCTCTACCCGAGTCCATCTCAAACCGATGTATGCCGGGATGGGGAGGGTTCTTGAAGATGAAGAACGACATTCTTGAACAGATCCACAGCGTCGATCCTCCTCAAAGCAGCGGCAAGTGGATGATGGACGGAGGTCACCCTACCATGCTCTCCACCAAGACTCGCTCTGTTCGTGACAAGACTGCCTCTCGCAACACACAGGAAAGCCAAATTACTGTCCAGGGTGGCACTCTAACCACGTCGTGGGCCATGTCACTTGCCACTTTCCACCTTTTGAACCGCCCCGAGACCCTCCGCAAGCTACGCGACGAGCTCTTTGATGCTATCCCCGATGCTTACGAGACCACTCCTCTGTCAAAATTGGAGAAGCTCCCTTACCTTCGTGGAGTCGTCAAAGAAGCTCTGCGCCTTGCTATCGGAACTAGCAGCCGCCTCGCACGCGTTGCGCCGGATGAGGCTCTCGTCTACCATGATCATGAGAACGATGAGGAGTGGAACCTTCCTCCGGGATCCATCGTTGGCATGAGCCCTTACAAGACCGTCATGGACGAGAACATCTTCTACGACGCCCGCGGCTTCCACCCTGAGCGATGGGTGGAGGATGGAGAGCGACTTGACAAGTATCTCGACATCTTCTGCTCCGGTTCGCGCATCTGTCTCGGCATGGCTCTGGCTCACGCCGAGCTTTATCTTACACTTGCCAAACTCTTCCGCAGATGGGGAAGCGGTGGTGTTGTGTATGGTAGTGATGACGGCGATCAGCGCTTTGGAGACGTTGGCTACCTCAGCATTTTCGAGACACGAGTTCGAGATTGCGAGATTGATGCTGACTACTTCATGCCTATTCCCTACAAGGGATCTGAGGGATTCCGCTTCGTTTTCGAAACCTACTAAGTTGGAGACAAACACTTCACTACTATATCAAGGTCAGGTATCTTTGCTTTGCTCTGCTTTTGTTGCCGCTTTGCGATACCCAGCGCCTATTATGTCTTTCTTATGAACCCTTTGATGAAAACGAGTTTGTATGATGGAATTACGATCATGTTTTGTCATGAGAAGCTATGAGTTTCATGTTTTATGTCTTTTAAAGATGCGGCACATACGTGCCTTTTTCTATGTCATGAGTTTACGTCTTGCATTGCTTTCCAATAGCCTTCTGGCTTTATTTGTTACCGTGTTCTGGAGAAGAGGATGTCGATACGCAAGCTTCGCAGTCTCTGTGTTGAACATGGATGAACAGCAAGACTTTTGCAATCAACACCAAATCTTCAAGCCAAATGAGGCGCACGGATAAGAGGTTGATCTTCTTTGTCATGATAAGTACGATATATGGACTTTTACGAATTCCGAACCCCAAAGGATTATGAGATACAGAACTGTATCTTTCTGAAGGCCAGGACTAGAACTGGTTGGATAGGAGAATCGGAGAAACAAACAAGAACAAAAAATTACAAATATCCAATTCAAAAAGCATATTTTCTAGCTTCTTCTCAGTGTGACCCTGTAATTCGCCTCTAGTGTCGATCTATCATGTCGTATTGAAACATTCACGGCACTTCCGTCGACAGCTCAAGGATTAGCAACCATCGAGAAAGCATCCAATCTCGTGTGGAGTTTCTCCGTCAAGAGGTTGCAGCAAAGACCCCCTAAATTACAGGGAATATCCGCACGCCACAGACCTGAGACTACCTATCCACGGGCATCCACTCTCCTAATGGTAGTTAGTGACGCAGCTATTTATTTCTATTGGGCCTGGTCAAAGCAAGCAGCCACCAAACCACCACGTTGCTACTCTATTCCGAGATCAGATGCCGTCAGACCAGCAAGTGTCCACTGTCTCCTGAGCTTCTCTCTTTGGTCTTTTATTAGTTCTTTTCTCTTTTCTTCTCCTTTTACACATAATTGCCATTTTGTTTCCTTGTACATCCCGTTCCATACATCCCCGGTCTCTATTTCTGCCTCTGTCTGTTACTTCAAATCTATTTGTCCTCATTTAGCACCCGCCGATGTCTACTTTTGATCCCGCAGCGAGGAAGCGAGTCCTCCGGGTCATTGCTGTCTCGCTACTCCTCGATCTGGTATGTGACAAGAATAGTTCAGTATGGCTTCCTCGCTAATTCAAGTTCCTAGATTTCCTTCACATTTATCCTTCCCTTGTTCCCCAAACTTCTCGAATTCTACCGCGACCGCGAAGGCCAGGAGCCAATCGGCCACGACGGACCTCAAACTCTCCTCCAAACCGTCCTATCAGGCCTCCACCGATACAAGGCTTCTTTCTCTCGCCCGATCGAGTCGCGACATGACATTGTGCTGCTTGGAGGAGCTCTAGGCTCTCTGTTCTCGTGCGTGACCGTCAAGCAAGCCTGTACATGTTAAGGTGCAAGCTGACAATCTTACTCGTAGACTTTTGCAAGCCATTGCATCTCCTCTAATCGGCGCCCTCTCCGATCGATATGGCCGTCGCAAGGCGCTCTTGGCTTCCATGTGTGGCAACATTCTCTCCGTCCTGCTCTGGGTTGCTGCCGTCGATTTCCGAACATTCATCGCCAGTCGTGTCGTTGGTGGGTTATCAGAAGGCAACGTCCAGCTCGCTACAGCAATGGCGAGTGATATCTCGGATGAGTCGTCTCGCGGTGCAACTATGGCTCTGATCGGCGCGTGCTTCTCAATCGCTTTCACCTTCGGCCCTGGACTCGGCGCGTGGCTCAGCACATTCTCGACATTCGCGGCGAACCCGTTTGCGGCGGCCGCGGGATTCAGTCTTGCGCTGATTGTTGTGGAGACAGTGTATCTATACTTCAGCCTGCCCGAGACTTTACCATCGCTACGCGGTGCTCAGACGAAGGACGGTGGGAAGGAGAAGGCTATACCCAAGGCTATTGAGAGGACCAACTCTCACTTTCTCTTGAACGCCATCCACTTCGTCTTCCTGCTGTTCTTTTCCGGCATGGAGAGTTCTCTGTCCTTTATGACGTACGAGCTCTTCTCGTTCACTTCCGGCAAGAATGGGAGATTACTTGGCTATGTTGGTCTTGTGGCATCTATTCTCCAGGGCGGTGTCACGCGACGACTTCCACCTCTGATGTCTGTTCGAATCGGCACGCTAGCTTGCCTCGCGTCCTTCGTTCTTCTGGGACAGGTCAACACAATCGGTGGTCTGTATCTCGCTGCTACATGCCTGGCCGTTACATCCGCCACCGTCGTTACAGGCCTGAATGCACTTTCCAGCTTCGAAGCTCACGAGGATGAGCGCGGCAACAAGCTCGGCATGCTACGAAGTTGGGGCCAGCTTGGCCGAGGCCTCGGCCCTATCTTGTTCACAAGTGTGTACTGGTGGGCTGGCCGTGAGGTAGCATATGGTATGGGCGCAACAGGTATCGCTGTTGTAGCTGCAGCGGTGTTTGGAGGGTTGAAGACCCCAAAGGGTATGAATACTCAGGGCAAGAAGGTTGAGGGCAAGGTCCGGTAAGAGTTGTGTGTAGACAATCACTAGTTCATGAAGGAGATGTGTATATTACATGTATTGGTCAAGCTGGACTTGACTGGGGTAGATAGCAGCATTCATAGAAATTGTAGCATATATTGTACGTTTGATGTTTTACGCCTTGTTACGATTTACTTTCTCCTTGAGACGTCTACAGTAGTTGTGGTGTTGAGCAGACTTTGAGACTGAGTGCACAGCACACTGCCTCGTGATTCGACTCTTCCAAAGTAGGATGAGCAAGAGGGTGTTCGAACCGCACTGCGTGCAGGGTCAAAACAGCCAAACTTGCGTAGCAAGAAGTAGAACCCCCAAGAAGGGCAAAAAAATACCCGCACCCGGATTTGCACCAGGATCCTTGGCTAACGCCCTATACTGTTATAGGAGTCCAACGAGTTAACTATTACTCTATACGGGCTTTCGTATGCTTTAACCGCTCGACCACGAAGTCTTTTGGTATTGCTTGTTGGGATAGGTACTATTGTGACGGGCTATATCCTGTTGAAAAAAGGGGGCGGTTATGGGCAGTGACAGGATGCTGCAGTTTCACAGACGGGAGCGTGCAGGGCGCAGCGCAGTAATTGGATGGAATTCGGGTGAGGAGGGCGGTGGTGATCGAGTCATCGGCACTGTTACTGTTATTTCTCGGTTGGTGATTGAGTGATTGAGTGGTCGCATTGTATGGTCGCAGTGTCGTTGTTTCGTGGTGTTGAGAAGGCCCAAAACTGGATACGCCTCAGCTCTTGAGATTTGGATAGAAAGCAACTGATTTCGAGATCTGTATAATCAATTGAACAACCGATATCTTCTGGTTAAGTAATTCGGTTTAAATCGTACTGTCTGGGATAATTTGTACGAGCTTACAATACCCAACTCATGCATTCATGTGTAACACGAGCCGGGGGATGGTGTCTTTATATGGACATTTGAATGGCTCCGCTCAGCCGCCAGGATAGGTCAAGCTCGACAGGGAGGTGATAGCGGCACTGGACTTTCACAATTAACACTATTGGTCATAAACATGCACAGACTTTCATAATAATGCCTTGGTAACAGCAAATCTTGGCTTGTATCAGGTGGTGTATCATGGTAAACTCCATACAAGTTACCTTGTGTTTTGAGTCTCGATGCTACCCTAAACTGACATCGAGATCATCAAAGTTCTTGACACCTCAGGTTCTCCCCAACATCACATATCAATAGTAGCGGTCTACAAAAGCGAACAGGGCATAAAATTTTCTCATCGATGAATCATGAGATGTTCTCACATGGTGCGTCCTCCACTTGAGTCTCACGATATCTTCCGTAAAGTGAAGGAGAATTTCGAGGCTACAGGCCTACGGCGGAGCCGATGCATGCGTCGAGGGCATATCCACTGTGGACAAACCCCCTCGGATAGAGTTCTCCATAATGGCAATGTGACAACAAAAACTATCCATATCCAGATGGGGACAATGAACGATAACCGCCGTGAATATGCGCCATAACTATGTCTGTGTAGCTACAGATTACTGACATGTCGCAACAATCCATCAACAAGGGAGCACGGCCTCCTAGGCTCAACGAGATATACAATGGAGAAGAAAGATCCCACAACACTCAAAGGCTCTTTTTCCATTAAGCTTACAGTAATACATTTCTGCCGTCAGAGTCACCGGGGTAGCAGCTGGATGATAGTTTCAGCTGTTTCATACGGATAAAGTGTATCAGTGGTGCTAACTTTTGCGTTTGACAATCTGGCAACTCCTCAATGGCTTGAGATATCGGAGTGGCACTTGAAGCTGCATGAAATCGCAAGGTCCTTATGGGAGGCAAGAAAACCCAAGCCCTGTGCCCCCAAGTGACGAAAAGACTTGGGTAAACGTAGTATATCTCAAGCGGCCTTCAGACCAGCGTGATTTTGGCATCCTGATTTCACGTCAGAAGTTTTCTTAACCCCCCCAGGGTCCTCACCAGAACCTCCACCAGGACCACGACTATCCCGCGACAGATCAAGGTGAGCTGCAGCTGCGCTTCGTGTGGGCTCCACAGTGGCTGGACATGATTTTTTTTGCCCCTCCTTGTGGTTTCTTTTCTGCTCTGGCGCGCTTGTTCAGTGGTTAGGTAGAGGCTATTGATCCCAGCAGCCTCTGCTTGGACCATACGCTGATGGAGGGGTTGTTGACAAGGAGGGGGAGGGGCACAACGCAACACGAGTAAACAACAACTGGACGAGACACAGGCGCAAGACCAAGACGAGGAACTGCAACGATGAGCGGAGATTATGGTCAATGTGATTCACCATATGGTTTTTTTTTTGGACATCAGTATAAGCGATCAAATACATGATCTGCCTGATGTCATGACGCCTACAGTGATGGAACTGTTGATATTCGCTTTTACCTATCTGTACCGTATTACCCCTCCAGCTTGAAAATTTTTGATAGGGACAATCAACTTCCTGTTTGACCACCTCACACATCCCAGCCAAGGCTAGATCTTCCGTGCACTGGTCGCGCAGCGGTGGTGGCAACCCACAGGCGCTAAAAGATTCAGTGGAGCATGACGTTGATTCGTGCAGGGAGTTTGAGCCAGAAACAGACCGCGCCATAGAGGAGGGGCAATCTTGAAGCTTCCCCTCCCTTGGTGGTCGAACGCAGAAGAAGATGTAGAGCGAGAGCCAACAAAGAGAGTCGCTCGGGCAGGATACTCTTATCGGTGTGACATTGTACGCGAGAGAGTTCAGAAAGAAGATATTAAGATTACTCAAGTGACTCACGCCGTGGTTGCGTTGGGCTGACGGACGTGAAATTGAGGGGCAAAAAAATCCTCAGATGCTGCGTTGGGCAGAACAGTCCCAGAGCCATGCTCGTCTCTGTATCAGGCCGGCCACAAGCAGGCCCCAGACAATTTTAGGACGCGCCCGCGCATCCACCACACGAAAGGGTAACCCACCGAGCCTCGACCGCCAGCATGATCGAATTTTTCTTCAGGCCGTAGTGAGAAATTTTCCTTTAGGCGGCGATGCGCACAAGAAAAGAATCGCAAAAATTGTGCCCCGCATGTACCCGCCTAACAGTTCGCTTGTACCTCCACGTAGAACCCAGCGCTTTTGCGATTGTCCTGGTGGAAAGACAGATATCGAAAGAGGTTGAGATAGGTTATTGAGCTGCTGATAGAGCAGCTAGAGGCGCCATGGTGATGTTTCTATTTCTAAATGCCGTGCCTACCTCAAGTAGTACACTAGAAGACAGCGGCTTTACTGAGATTCCTCTCGGGTGCCAGGCCTTGTTCGTTCCTCGAGTGTTGATATGTTGCGCTGATCCTGCCAGTTTGCTCCCCCAGATATCAGCTTCAAAAGCGGCCAGCAATACTGCAAAGGCTCGTCTAAATGCGCAGCAGGCTGTGCAGCGTGACCTCGTAATGACCACCGTAGTTACTTGATCACGATCACTCGATATCAACGACAAATCTCTGATATCTCCGTCCTCGTCGAGCTTCTTCTGCCCCTCCTCGTACCATTCCTCAAGTCTTTACTCACTCGCCGTCATTATGCTTTAGAGCTTAATGATTGGCTCAAACGGACCCACCTACCTTGTGAAAAAACCTCTGAGCTGTTAGGGCTTGCCAAGTTGGTTGCCCCGCGGCGCCGCTTCTGACTTTCACCCCACCCCACCCCTCCTCCCTCTGGCTCGCCTTTTAAATCTCCTCCTCCCACCACTTCCCTTAGATTTTTTCTTCTCTTCCCTCCTCGTCTCGCATACCCGGTTCAAGCATCCGATCTGCGATTTTGTATGTGCAGCCCTTCAAGGCCTTGGTCAAGAACATCGACAAGATCTATCGCTTCATTGCAAGCTCTTTGGAGATCTTCTTGAACATCGCCTGCTCTCCTCACCCTGTCTCTTCGGCCGCTGACCTCTTCACAGCACGTACATCAAAAACCTTATCACAAACCATTCACAACCGTCAAAATGGGTAAGGAGGACAAGACTCACCTTAACGTCGTCGTCATCGGCCACGTCGACTCTGGCAAGTCGACCACTGTGAGTACTACCCTGGACGATGAGCTTATCTGCCATCGTGATCCTGACCAAGATCTGGCGGGGTACATCTTGGAAGACAATATGCTGACATCGCTTCACAGACCGGTCACTTGATCTACCAGTGCGGTGGTATCGACAAGCGAACCATCGAGAAGTTCGAGAAGGTTAGTCACTTTCCCTTCGATCGCGCGTCCTCTGCCCACCGATTTCACTTGCGATTCGAAACGTGCCTGCTACCCCGCTCGAGACCAAAATTTTTGCGATATGACCGTAATTTTTTTGGTGGGGCATTTACCCCGCCACTCGAGCGATGAGCGCGTTTTTGCCCTTTCCTGTCCACAACCTCAATGAGCGCATTGTCACGTGTCAAGCAGCGACTAACCATTCGACAATAGGAAGCCGCTGAGCTCGGTAAGGGTTCCTTCAAGTACGCCTGGGTTCTTGACAAGCTCAAGGCCGAGCGTGAGCGTGGTATCACCATCGATATTGCTCTCTGGAAGTTCGAGACTCCTCGCTACTATGTCACCGTCATTGGTATGTTGTCGCTCATACCTCATCCTACTTCCTCATACTAACACATCATTCAGACGCTCCCGGTCACCGTGATTTCATCAAGAACATGATCACTGGTACTTCCCAGGCCGATTGCGCCATTCTCATCATTGCCGCCGGTACTGGTGAGTTCGAGGCTGGTATCTCCAAGGATGGCCAGACCCGTGAGCACGCTCTTCTTGCCTACACCCTTGGTGTCAAGAACCTCATCGTCGCCATCAACAAGATGGACACCACCAAGTGGTCTGAGGCCCGTTACCAGGAGATCATCAAGGAGACCTCCTCTTTCATCAAGAAGGTCGGCTACAACCCCAAGGCTGTCGCTTTCGTCCCCATCTCCGGTTTCAACGGTGACAACATGCTTACCCCCTCCACCAACTGCCCCTGGTACAAGGGTTGGGAGCGTGAGATCAAGTCCGGCAAGCTCTCCGGCAAGACCCTCCTCGAGGCCATTGACTCCATCGAGCCTCCCAAGCGTCCCGTTGACAAGCCCCTCCGTCTTCCCCTCCAGGATGTCTACAAGATCGGTGGTATTGGAACGGTTCCCGTCGGCCGTATTGAGACTGGTGTCATCAAGCCCGGTATGGTCGTTACCTTCGCTCCCTCCAACGTCACCACTGAAGTCAAGTCCGTCGAGATGCACCACGAGCAGCTCAGTGAGGGCCAGCCCGGTGACAACGTTGGTTTCAACGTGAAGAACGTCTCCGTCAAGGACATCCGACGTGGTAACGTCGCTGGTGACTCCAAGAACGACCCCCCCCAGGGTGCCGCTTCTTTCACCGCCCAGGTCATCGTCCTCAACCACCCCGGCCAGGTCGGTGCTGGTTACGCTCCCGTCCTCGATTGCCACACTGCCCACATTGCCTGCAAGTTCGCCGAGATCCAGGAGAAGATCGACCGCCGAACCGGTAAGGCTACTGAGGCCGCTCCCAAGTTCATCAAGTCTGGTGACTCCGCCATCGTCAAGATGGTTCCCTCCAAGCCCATGTGTGTCGAGGCTTTCACTGACTACCCTCCTCTGGGTCGTTTCGCCGTCCGTGACATGCGACAGACTGTCGCCGTCGGTGTCATCAAGGCCGTCGAGAAGTCCACCGGTGCTGCCGGCAAGGTCACCAAGTCCGCTGCCAAGGCCGCCAAGAAATAAGCAGCTTATTTCTGAAATGACAACCTTCAGTGGGATCTTACGACTTCGATCTCACGCCCAAGGGCTGATGTACTCGCTTCTACGACGAAATGATCATGTTGGCATGAGCACTCGGCTTTTGTCTGGGGGCACATAATGAGAGGCAAAGAAAAAAGGCCAGGATCTCGGTTGTGTGCAAATCAAAAAAAGAATAGAGAGTCTAGAAGTGATTCGTGCAAAAATTTCTTGTTCTTACCCATGATGCTTGTGATATGATGTGTGACTGTTGCAGCAAATGAAGCTTCCTGTGATGTACCCTCTCATTTGATCGACTTGGCTTCCCGCAAGTTGAAGCTGACCCTTGAAGTATCAGTAGCTTGTATATGCGGATGATACAGTGCGTGTGGCGATCAAGTTCATTGGGGTGCGCTGAACCGCCATGTCTTTTTGAGGTCTTCTTGCCGTTGGTTGTATTCTGGTGTGTCAAATCATACACACTGCCCCTTTCCTCTATACATTCGTCTAATGATGATGCTACATAACTATGATACACATGCTGTTTTAGTATACAATATTATCTCTTCTTTTTTCTTTTGCGTATCCAAAGCTGCCTCCGCAAGTTTCACGATTTCCTCATTTACAACGTTGCACGTCACAACCGACATGGCGTTGAAGAGAAACAGAGGCGCAAAAGAGTGAAACACAAGCCTCATGAATGATCGTCCTTGTTCATACCGGCATTCATACTCCTGACATCGTTTCGGTCGTCGTAGCATATTTAAACACTTCATTTGAGAGCCGTTCAAGGCTTTTTGTGTTTCGAGTTACTCGATGTCGGTTGCTTCTTCTTTGAAGCAGACTGTTTCTTCTTCTGAGCGGGCTTCTTCTGAGCAGACTTCTTTTTAGCAGGCTTCTTCTCCTCTGGGAGGGTATCGAAGAACCCAATGACACTATTTTGGTCCTTCCCTCTGTTCTCTGAAGTCGCTCGTCTGGCGAACTGAGCCGCAAATGCATCCGCATCTGACATCGTGGCGGGTTTCTGTAGCTCTGGGAGGGTATATTTGCTGGGTTTGTCCTTGGCTTTCCCGGTAGTTGCTGATTTCTTTGGCGTTGCTTTGGGCTTGGGCTTGGGTGCTGGCTCCTGGGTTGCGAAGTTCTCACTCTGAACCTTTTTGCGAGACTTCTCCTTTTTAGTTGCAACCTTTGCCTTCCGAGGTTTTGGTGGTGTGACCTTGTCTTCTGGAAAATCTGGAAAATCTGGCGAGTTGCCGATCGGAGGAAAATCCTCAGCAACGCTCGTCATTGATTTCTTGTATTTGTAGGCAGCATCGATGCCGTAGAGCTTCCTGTTGTCTTCACTCAAAAAGGCCTTAGGGCTAGAGTACTTCTCGAGGAAACTCATAAGATAATCTTCCTCTTTACTTGGTTTGGTAATAATTTTGTCGTCAAATTTGGTCTCATCAAGCTGTTGCTTGTCAGACTTGGATGTCGTGTCGGGGTTGAGCTCAGAAGTCGGGCCCTCCGCCGCAAACAATGCGTCTATGTCGTCAAAGATCTCAACTGGAGTTCCTTTCTCTGGCTCTGGGCTAGGCGCGCGTGCATTCAAACGGACACGGCTTTCAAGCTTGCCACTGTTCGCCTTCGTGGCTGATTCACGTTCACCGACATGATCTCGCGAATCGTACCTATCATTGCTCATCTCGATGGCTGGCCTATGTTGATTAAAGTGGCCGCGCTGGTCGGGCTTGTAACTGTCTCCGCTCGTTGCTGATCTGTATCGATTTACGCGGCCGTGAGAATCAAACTTTTCGTTGTCGACAATGACGTCCTCAGGGAGATCTTCTTCAAGCAGATTGTAACTGAAGTCTTCTAGCTGGCGACTCTTGACGGATTTGTAGCCGTCAGACCAGGAGAAGCATTTTCCAGTGGCTATGTCCTCGACCAGTTGTAAAAAGCTCGTACGTCTCTTATCCTTGAAAGCAACTGGGTTCTCGCCTGGTAAACCAGCCTGGAGTGTAATCTCCTGACGTTGGCCGCCATGCTGTCCAGCCTCGATGCTAGAGTAGCGCAACGTGTGGCCATTCCAAGGCATTTCCACGGTCTGATGGATTTCAGTTCCACGGAAGTCGTAAAGAACGTCTCTCTTCGCGGTGTTCATCCTGCCGCTGCCACTTCCTCGTAGCCATGATCCTGGAACCATGAGCTTGGCTTGGCTCGGTGTTCTAAGTTGACCCTCACGGAGGTTGAGCTGCGATTTCTCAAAGAATTCCTTTATGCCTGGGTGTTTTATTGAGAGAGCATAGGAGCGTTTGTGCTCAAAGCGGACATCTACAGCCTCTGTAGGAAGAAGCACGTCACTGTTGTGCCACGGCACATAAATGTGGACGGTTGCGTCGTCTGGGATCGTGAAGTTGTCGAGATCGGCCTGAGGGTGGACGGGAATGGTGATATAGGCAGCAGGGTCTGCATGTTTCTTCTTATTAGAATCCGTTACTGGACTCTCTGAAGTATCGACATGAGGCGAAAGGTGCATAACAATGGAAGTAGTCTCCTTCAGGGGCAAGTCGTTGTCAGGTTTGAGGGCGGAGAAAGCAGCGGGATGAGGTGTAAGGGGAGCTAGGATGCGGCGTTTGCGGTAGAGTTCCTTCATCGAGGTGCTAGCGCGTTGGTGTAGGATATGGCCAAACCTCGCTGTAGTAGCGTCTACATTTCCACTGCGAGGACATTTCTCTTCAGGAATCACTGATTCGGAAGGCAGCCCTAGCGGTAGAGTGTTTTGAGTATCCTTGCTGATGGGTGCGACAATTCTCAGCCACTTCTGGAGCTTGTCTCTCCACGACATAGCCCGAGCCTGGCGTTGTACAGGTACGGGCTGGCCAGTGACTAGGTCTTGGTTATCAGATCGCGGAAGGCACTGCAGGACACCGTGGTCGGCGCCCGGGACGACACGGCCAACGATTAAGCGGAATACTGTGTCTGCAAGGTCTTCTGTCTCGGTTGGGGGCTCGTCAGGCTGGGGCATCCAGGAGACGCGCAACATCTAGAAACCATTTAGTATGATATTGTACGTTTCAGGGACAACTGGAATTTCGTACCTCCTGGGAGCCATGCCTTACAGGCGTGATTGAAGTCTTGGTAAGCCGGCCGAGCTCCTTGCGCTCTGCCTGCGTTAGAGCTACTGATCGAGTCTTCGGAAGAAGAGGGGCAACGTCGATAACCCGGCTCTTCATCCTCTGCACGGCCTGGTCAATATGAGCGAGGATACCGTAAGTAGTTGACTTTTTCGCTGTAATGTTGAGGCGGCATTTTGGAGTATGCAATGTTAACTTCTCGTCTTCGCCGACTATGAAATCCCGCTTGAGCTCCCAAAGTAGACGGCTTGTGTTGTTGCGACCATCTATGACCGTCAGTCAGTAAATATACCACCAAGCTCAGGTTTTTGGGAACAAACATATGAGAAAGGGGAAGATCTCAGGATCCATCCAAACGAACGCTTTTCCAAGATCGTCCGCGTGTTCCTGAACCTTAATCTTCCATTTATCCAACACGATCTTTTGAGCAAGGGTAGCCTTATCATTGCCACGCAGTCGAACCGAATTCATTGGAGTCCATGGTACAATCTCTTCTATCCACTCGTATTTTACCATGTCATGATCCCTGGGCTCTGGCTTGCGAGCACTGTGATATTCCCGCAGCTGGGTGACTGTGAAACCATCGCAAAGAGTGCTGACGAGCTTGTCGATATCAGTTTGACGCAGAATACGACTCGTGGGACAAATTTCGTCGATATTCTTGAAGATCTCTTCAGATTCAGGCTCTGTCATTCCGGACGGAGTCAAATTTTGCCAGTCAAGATCTGTAGTTTCTATAGGTTTCGCCTCCATCACAGTAGGGGCTGGCCGCTCGATGCGTGTCATATTCGGATTGTTGATGATAATGGCACCAGCTGGCATTCCCAGAGTAGAGACTCCGAGGGATTCATCGTGCATAAGACGATCGTAGAGGCGTCTCTTTGGCAAAGGTATGAGCTCGTCTTCAAGATCTGGGGCTTCTAGTTCAGGCAGTGCAAATGCCTCGATCCCTGGCTTCTGCGATTCTCCCAAGAGTTCGTCCAGCGCATACTGTTCGGGACTGGGTGAACGTCCTGATGACGATTTGGGGAAGTCGGGCAGGTCAGGTAAAACGTATCTTGACGATTGCGGTTGTGATGAGGATTCGTTCAGTGCATCGTCAACCAGCTTCTCTGGGAATGTCTCGTCGCCAGGAGATATCGTCGTGTCTTTCGAGATCGGGTCCTCGTGTAATTGAGGTTCCTCGGAGCTACTAGTTGGCTCAGAGTCGACGTTGGTGGTGGAGGGAAAATCCGGAGCTGGTGTGGTGTCTTCTGACCCTGTAGGTGAAACTTTTGACTCTTCGTCCAACTGCTCTTCTTTCGGCGTTGTTTTCGAAGCGTCCGTATTCGTTATGAAAGCATCAACCTTGTTCTCCCCAGCATTTCCAAGGTCGGACGTATATAGTCGTCGTGCCAGGCCCTCATGAACTGGACTTGGTCGGAAGCCCAGACCAGTGCTTCGTTGTGTTATTAAGCCAAACCTGCATGCCAGGCGAATACGCGGCACTCGTACTGCTCTAGAAATCATTGAGAAGTAAATAATAAATTGGGAAGCCCCATTGAGGGAGCGGAATGCGACAATGCGGCCAAATTTGCCAAAACCAAGGTAGAGAGAGAGACCAGTGTCACTAGAAATTTTATCCGATAAGCGATAACCGGATAAGCGATAAGTTCCCGCTACTTGATAAGATTAACGCGTCTAAGTTGGGAAGGGGAAGACCGCGTATAGCTTTTCGTCAGTATAAGCCACCCCCTCTATCTTTTTCATTTATATAAATCGCCAATACTTGCATCATTGGGACTTTGGCAGCATCAATCTGAGTGTATGTGTAAGATTTGATATTGAGTAACAACAATTGTTTGCTATCACTATGCCTACACAAAGGCGCCGTCGTCCCGTGAGTTCGATTCCTCAGTGATTCACGAAGGACGAAGCTCTAACTTACTATACGCTTCAGGCCCAAGACGAAGAATCTGAGGAAGATGTTCGGCCCCGTCAACGGAACAGGGCAGATTCTGAGGACGAGAACGAACAAGAAGCTAGCGATGCCGAAATGGACGAAGACCAACACCATGCCCAGAGTGCCGACGATCAACTGGTGAAGAAGCTGGTGCGGTATGTTATTTCCTGCGAATATTCGAGAACCGCGATCCGCCGAGATGGTATTAAAGAACGAGGTAACAACGGAAACTGTGGGATGATAGGCCAAAACTAATTCAGGAACAGTTCTCGGCACCCAAGGCCGATCATTCAGGCGCATCTTCGACTTGGCACAGACACAGCTCAGACGAGTCTGGGGCATGGAATTAAGGGAGTTGCCTGTTAGAGAGAAGATGTCACTCCAGGAAAAGCGTCAAGGTACAGCCATCATCCATCGTACTTGATCCAGCTACTAATAACGTATAGCTATGAAGGCTAATGCCCAGCCCAAGCTCGGTTCTGGCGCCTACATCCTTACGTCGATATTACCAGAAGCGTATCGCCACGCAACGATCCTCGCCCCATCCAAGACACCAAGCGCGGACGACGAAGCTACATACGCAGGATTCTACACAATGATCATTTCAGTGATTTCCCTGAGCGGCGGAGAATTGAGCGATCAGAAGCTGAAGCGTTATCTCCAGCGGCTCAACGCCGACCGGAATGTGTCAATGGACAAGACAGAAATAATCTTGAAGAGGATGGAGAAACAAGGCTACGTTGTCAAGAGAGTTGAAAGACCACCTTTGGGTCAAGATGGCGACTCGACTACGACGTGGCATGTCGGTCCTCGTGGAAAAGAAGAAGTCGGCTTTGACGGCGTGATGGGCATGACGCGGGAGGTTTATGGCGACAGCTGGGATGAAGACAGCGAGAAGAAGCTTCGTGCGAGTCTGAACATCAGGGATGCGCCTCAGCAGGACGGCGAAGAAGACGACGAAGCCGTGGGTGAAGGTAGTCGAATGCAGAGATAAGACAAAAGGGATGAGAACTAATGTCGACTTTATGATACCCCAATACAGACCAAATATTCAATTCAAAGCTTGAAACAATTTTGTATGGTGAAATATGGTATTGTAGGTCCAAAATCTTCCCAACCACAGGGGTATTAATCCTTGACGCCTTTCCAAATTCCCGAGCGAAACGAAACCACGTTGAATCTCTCAGCTCTGCCTGCGATATCGTATTGTCTGTCCGGTCTAATCCTCGCGTGGCGGAGGAGGACCACAAGGCTGTACCATTTTCTGTGCCCAATAGGTTAGCTATTGGCCGTTGACAAGGAGCAGCTTGACATACCCTAATCATCTGCGCGCGAATCTTGATAATGGGCTCGTTCTCAGCAAGCGCGATATAAGAGAGAAGAGGCCTATGGCCGGCGATGGAAGAGTATGTGTCGCGCTGAATGTTGGTGCGCCATTCCCAGCTTGTCGTGTCTGGGTGACCAGTGCCGACGTATTTCGCTTGGAGGCGCTCGAGTTCTTGCTGAGTGCGGAGTTTGTCGGCCTTGCTATCTGTCAGCATACGATGTTCGTAAATTGGGTTTGGAAGAGACGTACCATATTGCTTGATATTAGAGGAGGTTGTTTGTTAGCAGACGAATGAATGCGCCGAGATCGCGAAATGATGAAAGTTGATGCGCCTGATAAGATAGGGCGCCTCGGTATGTGCATAACGCGAGGACCTAGGACATGGCCAGCAATGCCCTTTGGGTTGATAGAAATTCATGCAAATGAAATAATTATACGAGAGACATTACTGCGTCATCTTTTTATCTTTTTATATAGTATACAAGAAATGATTGCATTACTGTCATTATGGGCATCGTTGATCTGGTTCATACCTATGTCAAATACTCATTTCCATATAAGTCGGAATGATGAGACCTTTTCAGGTGGCCAAACTGGTGCTGCTCAAGACTTGCTTGAGAATAAAGGGGCTCGGCATGTTCTCTTATCCTACACAACATCTTGTCTGTATTCCCAGTAGCAATATGAGAATTTGTTGATGGGCTGTAGCGATTGAGGATGAACCAGCTGCCTTACCAGCTGGTTTACACCGCCTAAACATCGGCAGTTTGGGCTTTACCTACAGATCTCCAGTTAGTGACCCCTGCTTCTCATTTCATCAAGAACAATAATAGACGACTTTAACACGAATTGATACATCACAAAAAGACCACGTATTGACTACGAGCTGCTAGTTCATTGACCTAATCAGTACCATTACTCATTTTGCATATAAAGTTCAGCAACCTCAACTTTACTGACCTTTTGGCAACCCCCCCCCCCGAATTCATCATTCTTACAAGTTTACTACTTATAGAACAAGAACGAATCCAACCTAGTCACGTCAGGATAGGGAGAAATGGGTTCGACGGGCAAGGTTGCTCTTCCAGAACACTGGACAGAGTTGAGCGCGGCCAGAGTGCACAGGCAACAATGCGCCGACGAAGTGGATGCCATCAAGAAGGCGTGTTTATCAGAATGCGAAAAGGAAAGCGTGGTGGAATGCGAAAAGTGTTTCCCTAAGGTCCTTGACAGGATGCGTGCTCGATATTGTGATGCTGAAGGCAGAGAGTGGTTCTCAGAGCGAAGAGCATTTCTGAACGAACTGGACGTCATGTTTACCGATGTCAAAGATCACAGAAAGATCGACCTCACATCAATCGAAGACAGTATTGCATCGGAAAAAGAGGCATGGTACCGCTGGGTGCTACGCATGTACCCGCAGTTCCTCTCAGTAGGAGAAGGCGGGGCAGACCAAGACGAGCTGCGAGCAATGCTAGACGACCCGGTTAAGCGCTGGGAAGAGCTCACTGAGAGGATATGGGAGGGTGTAGGCAAGCCAGCCAACTGGGAAGCCGACGTGGACTCCCTTACCGACCAAATTACAGCCGTCAAGAACGATGCAGCAAAATTGAAACAGATCTATATCGACTTCTTCTTCAAAGATTCGCAAACCGGAGAAGTGGTGGAAAACGCACAGCAATACCTGGAAGCGTATGCGGCCAGCGACACAATGTCCATTGAGCAGGTCATTGATCGGATCTCACAAGATCACAAAGCGAGCCTTATGACGGAACCGCAACGTGAGCATCACAGAAACCGACTGGATGAGCTGCGTAGAGCAAAGATGGCATTTGAGCAGAACAGGCTGCAGAATAAGACTCGAGCCCAAGCAAGCCAAACGCCCGCTGTTTCCCAGGACTTATATAATCTACCACCCTGCGCGGTTTGTACAGCTACAGTGGACCCTAAGGATGTTCTCTCATGCTCGGTGTGCCAAGCACTTGCTCATATGGGCGGCACGAGGGAATTAACAGTGTGGTGCTCGGATGAATGCTTCGAGAGGGGTGTCGTAAGTGTTACCAGCTTCTCCAGACTGACTGGATCTAACCTGAGCAGGGCGACCACAATGAATTGGAGCACGACTGCGAGAGTGGAGATAGATGTGTGCAGTATGATGATGAAGACATCGAAATGCAGGACTGGACTAGCAACGCAGTGGCGTGCAAGGAATGCATTGATCAAAAGAGGGACACTATTTATTGCTCGATAGGATGTGCAGCATCCAATCTCGCGCGGCACAGACACGAAAGACATGGACTTAAGACGGCTGCGTATGAGATTAAGAAGCTGGCAGTGCCGCTATGGGAAATCGTGGAAAAGACTCTGAAGGAAGCAAACCCGGGACTGAAGTATACAGTCATTGAATAAGGGTGTGCGTGTATGTATATATATATGTGTTGAGTTGGGTATTGGCAACTGGCGTATTATTATTTGGGCGCCAGCATACGTTTTATTAAGCGTGTCAGAGAGAGAGGAGAGAGGGTTTAGGCAAGACATCAATTAAAGAAGCCATCTTTCCCTACATTTGTTCTATTCTCCTTTGTTCTATTTTTCTAGAACATCACTCGAAATCCAATACTCACTCTCACTGGCTGTATTATATGCGTGCTTACATCCAATGTCAGCCGTCTTGTGTGGGTCATAAGATCCGAGAGCTGTCGGCGATTGAGCATGATTCGGTTCCTCATTACGCCGGCGCAAGTTACGACTCTCTCTGTCACTTTGTCGCATGAGGTTTTCTTCCTTTCACTGTTCAATCATTGGCCCTGCACAATTCAATACCGAACCGCCACCAATCGACATCTCGACATCTCGACATCTCGACATCTCGACACAAATGGCGAGCGAGTCACCGACAGCAGAGGCTTGTCCAGTTCGGAAGAGGGTCTCAACAGCCTGTGAAGCCTGTCGCGCTACAAAGATAAAATGCCAGCCAAGTGAACAGCCTGGGGTCTGTCGCAAGTAAGGCCTCTCAATCGAAGATTCGGTTACAGCGCATCATCTGACGTGGAAAGGTGTCTCGAGTCCAAGAAAGAATGCATATCGAGAACAGGCCCGCGAACGCGCAGACGAAGGACTAAATAGTAGGAAATACTCTGTCGCATTGGGAAATCAGGCTGATAGATAAACTTGATACAGCGCGATGGAAACTCATCAACCACCGCCTCCTCCACCACCAGCGCCATCAAAGACTTTCACCATTGACTTTGAAGTTCCAACACAATTGGACGTCGATGAGAACTTTGAGAACCTCCGAGACTCACATGCGCAGTTCATAGACTCAATATTCCCCTCAGATCCAGACGCGGATCTCAGTAGCTTCGAAGACTCGCCCCTCACGGGCTTTCCCACGCCATCCTCATCTCACACCCTTTCGATACAATCTTTCCATGCGAAGCCCCAATTCAACCTCGACTCCGCAGGGTCGCTGTTGGTTTCGTTTCGGGGGATGCTGGTTCATTACCCTGTCATTGTACTGAAGCCTGATGAGACGGTGGCCAGCCTCGCTGCGTCCAGACCGTTTGTCTTGCTCTCGATATTGGCTGCAGCTTCTGGATCGCGCACTTTGCAGGGACACACGCTTTACGACGATGAGTTTCGAAAAGTTTTGGGCCTCAAGTTTGTGGCAAGTGGTGAGAGGAGCATGGAATTGCTGCAAGGCATTCTCATCTATTGCGCTTGGTCAGTAGATCAGCTTTGAACAAGTTTGGCATGGTTAACATTCTCAGGTACCCATTTCATCTGAGACCAAAGAACAGACAGGCCTTTCAATACTACCGTATGGCTGGTGATCTATTAAGTGACCTCGATCTCGACCAGGAGATGCCTAATCTTGACAACACGATACCGGGCGATATGAGCAGTATGCAGCTCGACAGACTACGGGCGTATCTAGCATACCACTATGCCGTGTCCAAGTACGTCCTCCTCGAGATACACCAATACCAACTTACTCACAGTTTGGACAGCTTCCTCTGTACTTGGAAGAAGATGGATCTGCTCATGCCCCAATGGACGCCCTGGACCGCAACGTGCTGCGAGCTACTTCACCGCCACGCCGAGGTTGATGGTGATGTTTCACTGAGCTACCTTGTTCGACTGGCAAACATGACGACCACGGCAAACAACTCGATACGAGACAATGATCCACAGGCGAACCAGCAGGTTCAACTTATGCTCCTGGGACTTGAGATGCAGCACAAGGAGATGAAAGAGACCATGGTGCCACATCTCTCTCGTTCAGGTAAGCCATCTTTATTGCAGTGCTAACATTTCTAACGTTGTACAGCACCTGTGAAACTCGCACATCTCTTCTTTGACGTCTTTTTGCAAGGTGGTGCCATCTTCTGCCTCACACGCGCCAACACAAGGAAACCTCATTTCATTCACCCATCATCAGTCCGTCTCACACGCTGCGTGAATAACACCCGCGCCCTGTTCGACTACCTCCTCAACCTCGACAGCTTCAAGTACTTCACAAGCATCGATTGGACAAAGTTCATCCTCTCCGTGATCCTCGCTGTGCGACTCTCTTTTCCCATATCTGAGGTTCCAGACTGGGATCATGCTTGGGCACGCTCACAGTTACGGTTTGACGAATTCCTCGAGTTCATGTGTGACGGGCCGGAGGATCTCACACCGTCTAGTAAACGTGTCGACGTACTCTCCGCAAGCCGTGTGATACTGCGTGTTGTGAAATCAAAGTACGACAGGCGCATTGCTATGCTCACAGCACCGAGTCTGACTTCAAGGGGCGTGGGACACCAAGGATGCCCCATGTTTGATAAAGATATGCAGCCATACATATCGGCGTGGGACACAGACTTTGACATGAATTCTGCAATGCTCACACCGGGTCTGAATACGGATGGACAGCAAACCATGTACCATGATCTATGGGCGACCATGACCATGAGCTGGGCAAATGATGGCTCGGTGGACTCGTAGAGCGCTAGCGGAGCTTTTGGCCTATGTATTATCTGCAGCCAATGGATGTGATATCTCAACTATCCTCAAACAGTCGGCGTTGTCGACATGCAACTGGAACACTACCACCCTGGTAAACATGTGACAGATGCTTCATTCACGCAGTAAGCAATCTCATAGCTACGGTTTCAGTCTCCTTCTAGGTGATTTGCATACTCGATCCCTGGGTTCATCGACTAGCCGTACTATATTGCAGCTCCATTTCCACTGCCACCACCGTCGTCCCAAGTTTATCATACCTGCATGAGCATCCCCCTCACATATACCTCCACAAACACCAGAAACAGATTATCTGATCAGCCTCTCAACTACACCGGATCGTCTCCGCCTCCTCTCCCATCCAATACCCGCAGACCACACAATCTCCGTGCCTCTGCAGGCGTCTCAACACAGAAACCACCCATTTCCACCCCCTGTCCTCGCCCACACACCCCTTGCTACCGGTTATTCCCACATGACAACCTCCCTTGTCGCACAGCATCTCTCCCCCTTCCCAATTTCCGCGCCCGTCCCGTCCGCCCGTCGAGGGTTCGGCCCGCGAACCTGGGTAAGCTAGATTGTTGTGTAGTAGAGTGTAACCCATCTACAGGCTGTAAACAGAGACAGATGTATATTGGTAATGATCATCCTCTGGGGCCTCCCGTCACCGGTTTCCGATGGTGCGTAACACGAGCAGGAGCATCTACACAGGCACAAGCGCCTCGGTCTGTGTACGAAGCGCCAGCTGCAGCGAATGCAGCACCACTCGAAGCGCATACCCAGATACACGACCTGCTTTAACTTGCATCTGTCAAGCCACACGATGCTACCCTACCCTGTCAGCATTTATATGCGTGGAAGCCTCAGAGCCATTGGTTAATAGCCGGGTTCATCGAGATGGATATGCCTCACCGGTAATGCTGGTAGATACTCATATGATCAAATCCCTAGGACTTGAGCATATAGTTGCAAGTTGCATTTCTTGATCATGGGCGAGGATATCGTCGGCTTCACTTCCAATGCACCATATTTTTTGGGGTAGTAGTTGCAACGTCAAGCTGACTGGGCATGTCATGACTTTGAAACTGCATTTCAAGCGCGGGCAACCCAATAATACTGTGATGATGGAGCTAGTGGCATGCCGATGCCCCTAGATTTTCGTCAATACTTAGTAATGAGGATAGGAACTTGAGTATTGAGATTGCCAAAGAGCGAGGGAATTGACATCACATGGACGCGGAGACACGAGAGTTAAAAAACAAATAAACAACTGAAACTTGTACTCTATCGCTAATAACCGCCTACCGGCCGAAGGTAGAAATCTGTAGCCGTAACATTGAGACTCAACAGCATTTACCAGAAGAAAGCCCATAATCCACCGTGCTATGCTTCATCCGCCTTAATGAAGATGTAAGAGGCTGTGCTTGCAAATGCATGCCCCAACTCGCGCGACAGTCCGAATTCTGATGCGCGAAAAAGAAAAGAAAAAGAGAAACATGTAGAAAGGAAACGCCCTATTCCTGCGCCTGACGCGGTGCACATATGGATATATCGCGTTAAGCCCAGTCCCTTCCCAATGTTCCATTGATGCTATCCTCCCTTCCAAATGTGACATTCCAAAGAGCTCTGATCGCAACAGCAACAGATGAGCTAAAGCATGCCTTGTGTCATTGTCAACCCTGACCAAGATGACCATCAACAAAGACTTCAAACGCCAGTTTCCCGTAATGATGGATCAGATAAATGAACTCCTCAATGCCGATGTGGTCTGCTGGAAATGCCCAGTGGTGATATCTTGGTATGCGTGTTTGTCGAGTCCTTGATCTCGTGTAGCCCGTCCGATCCCATGCTCCAATCCTTCTGAATGCAAACGCGGGACGACCGCTCCAGTTTCTTCCATGCTCCAGGAAATCCTAATCCATCCTTACCTTATCCCAAATAAACTCCCAGCATTGATAGGAACCAAATGAATCTCAATAACCCGCGCTTCCCTGAACCCCATTCTTTCATGCAAAAACACTCCATTGTGACTCGCCACATATCAGCTTCTAACCTCCATTCTTCTTCACCTCCCTTGGTGAATTTCGCCATGCTCTACCGTCTTTGTTTTACTGCTTTTCTCTTCTTCTCCTTTTGGGTTTGTACCGTGAAGTCATAGGTTGCGCCTCAGTTGCAGTTACCAATTGTATTGAGAGAAATCAGGGGTGCGATCAAGTTGAAGGAGATCGCGGCGAGAGTTTGTGGCTTGAACTCGAATTTCGAGGTCCGGGCAAACAGTGCGCCAAGTTACACCAGATCAAAGACTGGTGATACTTTGTGTCTGTCGGCTCTGAATCATATCCACACCCAACCGAATCATCCACAAGACGGCTGTATTGAAGAAGTACTCCAGACTGCGAGGAATCAAAACGCCGTATATAAATGATGAAAATGAGTGGGTGTTCGTAAAAAATGGGGAATCATTGAAGAAATATGAAAGAAAAAAAGAAAACAAGACATAAAAAAGCAATGCATTAATTGAGCACGAAAGTCCCCAAGCCAACTACAGGAATAGTCACACATGAAATCCAAGTATGTGGATTGTGCTCGTTAGCCATGGAGAGTATTTTGCTTAATTGCCTAGCATATAAGCTGAACTGAAGCCTGATGGTTGAGCATGGGCACTGTGAGGCGATGGCGTAACATGGTTGTTGAACGCGGCAACAGGCCAGGCTTGATGTGTGAAACCACCAAAAGTGCCAGCGGAGCTGGGGTTCATCGAGGCCCCTCCATGAAAGGGGCCTCGGCCGTTTCCGGGCATGGGCTGGGGGAGACCCGGGGGTGGTAAAGGAGCTGAGCGGTTGGCTGACCCGAAAGCGTTCATAGAAGCGGCGAGGTTGCCGTTCATTTGACCCAGTGCACCTGGGTTTGCGTGAGCAGGATTCTGACCAGCTCGTACACCAAGGGGATTCTTGGAGAAGCTGAGTCGAATTCCACCCTTGTTGCTGTTGGACAAAAGTTTTCCATATAGTTCCGTCAGCGCCTTGGAAGCGAATGGGATATCTTCGAATTCGACAAAGCACATGGGCCCATTTCCTTTCGTGCGAAAACAAAGACGTTTGTAACCCCGCTGCTTGGAGAAGAGAGTCTTGAGTTCTTCTTCCGCCGTGTCCATGGGAAGGTTACCAACATACAGAGTGTTGCAAGGGGGATTCTGATCAGCCGTATTGGCATGTGGATAGTTCATGCGTCCGTATGGTGATTGGTTTGGAGCCTGGTACCCAAACTGACCCTTGCCCGACGGAGACATGGGGCCAGACTGTGCTGACATTCCGCTGCCGTATTGAGGCAGAGACGAAGGAGCGGAAGGGGGCATGTTGGTGTTGAGTGAAAGAGAACTCATCCCGTTGATGGGAACACTGGGAACAGTGGCCCTGCGCGGTCCGTTGTCGAAGGAAAGTGCGTCTTCAACGAAATTGAGGGGGTCGTAACTATCGTCATAAGGATCATTGGCGATAAGGCTCTTGCCTGTCGCCCTGCCAGGCTCGTTCAGGTGATTGCCAATGGGAGAATGTGGCGAGAAAATCTGTTGCAATTTGCCCTCATTCTTAGGAAGGTCGTGCCCAGGGTAGACATTGGTTGTTTGAGGGGAGATGTTCTCCATTGACTGAAAGACCCCGTTGTGAACAGGTTCTGTAGGCTGTTGATGCGCAACAGGGGGCTCGTCGCTGATAATTTCGACTCTCAAAAGCGCACTATTGGAAGTGTTCGCACAACCATCCAGCAGCTGTTTGGCGTCCTCAGCGCCTGCTCTTGTTCGGAATTTGAGCAATGCTGTAAGATAGTGTGGCTCTGCAGAGTCCACAGGAAGTAGTTCAACATCAACAAGATCTTGCGACCAAACCAGCATAAACCGCACCGACTCTCTGGAGGTTTCTAGCGGCAGATTTCGAATTAAGACTTTGACCGGGGAAGATGAGGAGCCTATTGGTGCCGGAGTGTATCTGTGGAAATCGCGCGATATCTGGGGGTGAGAATATGGTGGTGCCATAGATCGAAGGCCCGGGTTCATAAAACTAGGCGTAGCCATGGTTGAGAGTGACGCAGCAGATGCGACTGTACTTGTGGTGTTGGATAGGGCTGCCGTCGCAGCAGATGATTTGGCTGAAGTAGCGGCAGGAGGCGGCAAGGGACTTGCGTGATAGGAAAGATTGGCTGTTGGAGATGCTATCCTTGCTGGATCGGATGGTGGTGCGCTTTGATCAATGTTCATTGCCCACTGTGCAGTTGCATAAGCTGGGACAAGACCTTATTCGTCGGAAATGCGATTTGGGGTTAAGCGAATGCGACGATCGAAGAGACCTTGGAGTTGAAGCTTGTCGTGACCGCGTTTGTCGTGGGTATTGTATTGGTGCAGTCGCGGGCGCAATCGCAAAGTTGATGATGAGTGTGTCGTCAAATTCTGAGAGCTGAGTGACAACCTGGTAAGACTGAACGGTTTGAGGCGAATCGTAGTCTGGCGCAATCTGCCTTTACGTGCGTTGTGGTGGAGGATCGAGGTAAACAGTTGCGCGTTGATGGCTGGCACGGATGATTGACTCAATGATATCAGTATGGATGCAATTGGGCCTGAATGTCGCTATAATCAAGACAAAGTATGGTGTTGCGCTCTGTAATTGCGATGTCGCGTTAGCAAGATGATGGATAGAATGCGCTGAGAAACTGACGTGAAAAGGAGTGCGACAGACAGGACAGACCGTCGCAGTGAGTAGAGCAAGCAGGTGTGGTGCAAGTTGCAATGAATGTTGCGAGGATTAGAGAGGGGGGCCGTTGTGGTTAATGTAGGGGGGGCGCCAGAAACTCTCATACCCCAGCCGCAGGACACGGCTACCTTAGGTAGGGGAGAAACGGTAGCGGCAGCGGTAGTGTCTGTAGCGAGAAGATGGTGGGAAGGATTGGCAATGCTTGGTACCTTATCCCTACAGCGAGCAGGTAGGTGGATT